TTCTTTGGGCCTGAATCTCCTAGTCTGTAAATATGTAGAAGTCCAGTTAGATAACTTCTTAGTCCTTCCCAGATTTAAAAGTTTTCTTCTAGGCCTGAAGGATGGAGTCTGTTATATTACATCTAAATACTTTCTTTTCAGTTATTCTGGGGGGGGAGAAAATCTGTAAAGGCAACGTGTTCAGAACCCTGCCACACTTTTCCCCCTGCCCCAGTCGGTGTGCTGGTTCACTTCATTTTCATCTGCCAGGGAGTGAATGACTTCAGTTGGGTTCAGGATCATTAAACTAAAATAAAAAGAGTGCTTTTAAGAACACTAATTGACAGCTTAGAAGTTCTCTAGCAGAACATGCCAAAAGAAGGTGAATTATTTTATAAATTATATGTTGAACTCTGAAAAAAGGAGAAGTACTTTTAAAGCCCACACACTTTTGTTCAACTTAAACTGCTTGGCTTGTGTTTTTTTCCCCTTATGTTCCCAGGTTTACCAGCTGCACAGTCTCAGTTGACTATATCAATCAAGTGGACATTTCCTGCTAAATGCTTAAGTGATCCATTTAGCCAAAGATTAACATTGCTTACCTCATGGCACTACTAAGGGGGGAAAGATAAATATATTAGAGTCAATTCCAGTGCAGACTGACAAAATCAAGGAATCTGATAAAGAAAATTTATCTGGTCATGTGTTATTATCCACCTTTCTAGCAAGAATTGTTTTTATTGTTGTTTTTTTGATACAAATAAACTCCTAAAGAGTAAAGAGCTGTTTGATATCTGTGGTAGTAAAGTTTAGCACAGTAAAGCAGGCTAGTTTTTTATAAGCAGACATAGGCTGTAACTAACTAGACAGATTTGTAAGTGTGTCAATAACATTAAACCTTCTTCGACCTAGGTCGCAACTACTGGTCTAACATTATCTTATACCTTCCTCCTGCTTATCCAGCTCTCTTCTCCCCCCATATGGCTATAAATTCATTCATTCCACACATTCACTGAAGCATTTACTATGTGCTGGCATAGTTTTTATGCCCTGGGGATATAACAATTAAGAAAAATATCCCTGACTCTGTGTAACAAACATTCTAAAGGGAGAAGACCTGTAATAAACAAGCAAACACAACTTTTACAATACATTGAATGTTGAGTGTTATCGTGGCTTTGGTTGTATTTCCACCAAAAAAGATGGTGAAGTCCTGACTCTGAGTACCTCTGGATGTGACCTCATTTAAACATAGGATGTTTGCAGATGATAATGTTAAGATGAGGTCATTAGGATGGACCCTAATCTAATACGACTGGCATTCGTATGAAAAGGGGAAATTTAGACACACAGACAGAAACACACATAAGAAGAATACCATCTAACCATAAACACAGAGACTGGGGTGATGCATCTACCAGCCAAGGAATGCCAAAGATTGCCAGCAACCCACCAGGAGCTAGAAGAGAGGCAGGAAATGTGTTCTCCCTCATACCCCTCAGGTGGGCAGTCAAGCTTGCAAACACCTTGATCTCAAACTTCAGCATCCAGAACTGTGAGGTAATAAATTTCTGCCGAGCCACTCAACTTGCGGTGCTTAGTTAAGGCAGCCCTAGCAAACTAATACAAGGGTCAAGGAGAAAAATAAAGTAGGGAACAGAGAGATAGGGCATGAAAGGAGTTGAAATCTGAACGATGTGGTCGGGCCTCACTGAAAAGACCGCATTTGAGCAAAGGTTTGAAAGAGAGGGAGAACCCTGCCCATAATCAGAGGGAGTAGCAGGGACCAAATAATGGAGGGACAAGTGAGGCTGCGAGTTCTAACAACAGATACGTGGGCAGGGAGACTGAGCAAGTGCTGAAAGACTATGAAGTGGTAATAAAGGAATGAGATAGGAGAGGGAGTAAGAAGTCAGATGGTCTCAGGCAAGTAGTGTTTCCTATATGCTTGGATCACAGGACTGCTTTATACTCGTAAAGTTATTGAGGACGCTGAAGAGCTCTTGCTTATGTGGCTTATGTCTATTGCTGTTTATAAATTAAAACGAAGACATTTAAAAACCATTAATTTCAAATAGTGATAAAAAACTATAATGTGTTAACATTATAGCACTTTCATAAAAAATAGCTATATTTTCTAAAACAAAATCAGAAGAATAGCTTACTCTAAGATATATAACCTTGGGCAAGTGACTTAACCTTTCTGTGTCTCAGTTTCCCATTTGTTGCTAGCTGCGAGGATTGTTGGGAGGAATAAATGAGGTAATGCCGATAAAACAGTAAGAGTTTTTTATTGGTACAGAGCATATATGATGCATCCTGTGGCAATTGCCAATTACTTTGTGGCTTTTATTGTTATTTATAATTACATATAACATTGATGTCAGCAGCGAGGACACTGGACAGAAACTATGTGTGAGCCTCTGTCCTAGGTTGTTGGGAGCACAAGAACCCTGCTTTCTAGGTGCCTATGATCAAATTCAAAAGGATGGATATATAACATAGTGGTTTGTATTATTTCTTTGTATCATTTGTAGTGTCTATATCATATGTATATTTTCTGCAAGATAATGCAAGACGATGTATGGTAATTTCAAAAAAAGTGGCAGATAGAGGATTTTAGATCTCCAGAAAATGGAACTGCCCCACAGGATTAGGAATTATAGGAAAGCTTTGCAGTGGATATGGAATTTGCCCTATTGTATAAATAGGATACGTAGTTAGAACAAAGAAAGGTATTCCAGGCGACTGAAGGGAGAAGTAAAATCAAGTCGGGTCAGTTCTAGTATATTCATGTAATAGTAAATAGAACTGTTATTTGGAGGACTAGAAGATCACAGAGCTTTCACAGAAGCAGGATTGGAAAGGTCAGTGGTTCAAAGTTAAATGTGGAAAAGAACCTATATTGCTAGGGAATATTGGAATCCATATCAGAAATGAGTACCCTACTGTGTTCAGGCCCACCTTAAACAGCAAGCTTCATCATTTGGTTCCTCTGCAAATCATCAGTGCAGTGGTTTGACATACTCCTGGGAGTCAGACAGTCTAGGTCCAAGTTCCAGGGCAGCCACTCACTCATTCTCTGTGTCTCATCTCCAAATAGGTAGAATAATATTGCCCCCAGAGTTATTGTGAAAAGCAAATGAACTCATGCAAGTAAAATTCTTAATACTGGACTATTTTAACATGGGCCTGGTGCAGCCCTGTTGAGACCCAGGGAAGAATATGAGAATCTACAGGAATTTCCTGCCCCTTCCCTTTCCCATTACTCTTATTTCTCCCAAGAACCAGTAGTCACTGCTATCCACCTACCTACTCTTAGCCATCCATGGGGTAAACAAACATCTGTCCCTATTTGTGCCATATATTGCTAGGTGCTTAGACTGGACTGTTAAAAAACCTTCAATTATTAAACAAGAGGCTGTGTGCCCTTTTATTGTCAGAGCCACAATTGGCATACTTTTAGTTTGTTCCATTACCTTCTAGAGCTTCTCTCACGTTTTGTCATCATCAGTTAGATCTCAGCAAAGAATGGGAGGATGATTTGAACTAGTCCCACTACATTCATGAACCATCAGACAAAATGAGAAGGAAAGGCTTAGGGATGTAGGAACCAATGTCAAGTTTAAAGGAGTAGGAGAACAAGGCAACCTTCTCCGCATTTTATTGGGAAAGTGCCATGCTCTAAACAAAATATCCAAGCCCTACTTAAAAATGTGATTGCTACTTAAATCAGCACTGTGGGTGCCAAGCTAGAAATATGCATTAAAAACACCTGTGCATATGCATTAGGACACTTGTTCTAGAAAAGAACAGGAAACAAATAAAAGTGGTTCATTTTCTGAAAAGGGAAACTTTGTTGAAAGAGGTTTTTTTATTCTACTGCAAATAGCACATATGAGTTACTACAAAACCAGAATTACTCTGTTAACTAATAAAGGCCACAGGAGTTGTAAAAAACACACAGTTCTATTTCGAGACTGCAGTTAAATTCTACAATTGATATGAAGTCATTAAGTTTTTATATCTGCCTTAAGTCCTTTAGATGAACTTTCTAATCCGCTTTAAAATTGGCTTCAATATTCTGTTAGACACAAACTATTAAAATAATGATTCTAAAAACAATTTCTTTTTTAAAAAAGGATAAATAAGAATACATTCAATGTTGTAAATATAAGAAGTTCTCTATGTGCAAATGCTTTAAAAGGTTAAAATTAAAATCAGAGTAATTAGGAATGATTTGAGATTTATAAAAATAGGTCATCAGTTTTCTTTCCTCACATGGAGGGAAGAAATTTAGTTTTCTTTTTTTTTTAATTTTAAAAGTCATGGAAAAAATTCTTAAGTTATTTTTGTAAATTTTTTTATGTTTTATATAGAAATTTTGGAAAATACAGAAAAGCTCAAAGTGGATGAAATCTGTGTATTTTTCTTTGGTCAGTTTGTGCATCTCAAGTTGTCTTTTTAACAAAGCTAAGGTGTCATACATATTATTTTTAAATGTAATTTCTCATTAACATGTATTTGAGCATTTTTATGCCATGAAATTATTCTAAAGTATTAATTTCAGTGGTTGTTTAATGTATACTTAAGCTTGTATACCATATTTAACTGGGCTTTTATTATTGGAGATTTAAACTATTTGTAATTCATAATCACAGTACAGATAACTCTTTGATGAACATCTTTATTCTACAATTTTCAAATATTGATTATTTATTTTGGATAAATCCCTAAAAATATAATTGTTAGTTTGAAGAAGATAGCATTGACCTCTGATAGATATTTTCAAGCTTCTCTCCAGGTGGTTTGTACCACTAGATATTCCCTCCAGCACAATGTGCAAGTGCCTCTTGCTCCCACACCAACATTCATTCATTCATTCATTCATTCATTCATTCAATATGTGCTTATTGGGGTCCTATCATGTACCCAGTATTGTACCAGGAATTGAAAATAGGCAAGTTAGCACAGAGATTTTACTACTTTCTTAAAATGTCTAGTTTATTAGGCAAATAAAAACTGAAGTAAATGAACAGACCAGCTTATAAATTAGTTCTACACTGTTTTAAGTATTACAAAGGAAGTAAACAGATGGTCTAATTTTTATCTTTGCTAATTTAAAAAGCAAGATTGTTTCTTATTGTTTCAATTTGCATTTTTTAATAGCAAAGCTGAACATCATCTTTCTATCAATTGGGTTGCATTCTTTTGTGAGTTATAAGTGTATATCCCCTGTAAATTTTTTTATGTACATGCTTACACATTTTCTTGAGTCTTGAAGTCTTATTATATAGTAAAGCTATCTATAGTCTTTTAAATTTTATATCAGGTGATTTCTGATGCATACAAGAGGTCCGCTGTTAATGCTGCTTGTAGTTGCCTTTCTTTGGTATTGTTTATAAAGGCCATTCTCTCCTTGGAGTCAGTTAGACATACCCCTGTATTTTTTCTACTGTATTTATTTTCTACATTCTCCATTAATTTCCTTCTTTTTCTTCAATTTCCACTCTTTCTCTTTTCTGATCTCTCTCATCGACATTTAAATTCATTGTTTTTTTTGCCAAAATAAATAGAATCCTTTCTTCCATACCCTCAAGTACATTTCCTAACTTTACCGACCCTAAACAGCCACATTTCTCTTGCTGCCTCCATTTCCTCATCTTCTTACTCCTCAAATGACCCTATTATGGTTCCTCTGCCCAGTGAGTTCTGCTGCAACTCTTGAGGAAGCCTACAGTAACTGCCATATCACTTAATCAAATGGATTTGCACATATTCAGAGATGGAAAAGTTAGAGCACAATATTCTTTATTTTAACACATGATTTTATCCTCTAAAAAAAGATGAAGAAAATCTTGATTTTTCATTGAAGGTCTCTCGAAGTTTCTTCCAATTTAAAACAATCCTTTTTGGGTAAAATCATCACATTCTTTAATCATCACACTTGTTAAATGATCAACTTCACAGTTCAAACTTGTTATCAGGACTGTTTCTTAAATATCAATACATCTCCATGTCCCTTTGGCCAGACAACCTGGAAGTAGAAGAAATCTTAAATGTCCTCATGGTAAAAGGAACTTGGAGCTGGTTTACATGTGGTTCTGTCCTTCCTCTAAGTGCTTACTGAATGTTGCAGCTATTTCCCTGTCTTTCCTGGCCACTGGGCATCCTGCTGGTATCTGTGCCTACAGCCTTTAGCTGGAGAATTTGCAGTCTATGCTTTAGGCACAGTGAGAGCCTCACTATTCCTTATGGTATACTTGCCCCCATCTCAGAACTTTCTGAATCTAGAGATCCCCAAGCATCCTAATCATATCTTCAAAATGATCTTGGCTTAGGTTGTTTATCTAGAAATACCTGTTTGGGGAATCATTTCAGTCTTCAGCAGATAGTCCCATGGAAAGCCTACTGGTTCGCAGCTCCTTTCCTTTGAAATTCCACCAGAAGCATGTGGAAACTTCTGGTTATCTTCCATGCCGTGTGAAAGCCATCAAGAACCAGGAAACTGGGGGTGGAAGGCTGGTTAGAGAGTATGATAAGTACTTCTCAGCTCTACTTCTTCTCTGCCTCTTGCAACCACTTCCAACTCTACTGTACTAGAGTCTCCAAAAGGAGCACTTTTCCTCAGAGTACCAAAAGGCACAATTCTCCACTGTTCTGGGACTTTCTCCAAAACCTATGCAGTTGTTTCCAACATGTCTCTATTCAATTCCACCTCAAATATCTGGGATATTGACCTAGAAAAAGAATCAAATTAATATCTCTGTGATCCTTTGCTTTTCCCTTCCCTTTTGAGTAATCTCTGTACTTTCTCTTCCTGTTTGATAGGATCCACCCTTATATTGAATCCTGTGTTCTTCCTTCCTTTACGGACTTCTTTGAGGCATCACCTTTCCCTGAATTCTTGATTCAATGGACAAGAAGCCTCATAACAGCATTCTTAATGAAAATTTTAAAAATATCTTAGTTTTCTTACTGGAACCCTCAGCAATGTTTAACACTGTTTGACACTCTCGCGTCTTTTGTCTTTCTTGGTAGACCTCTTTTGGCTTACATGTTTCTCTGGTCATTCCTTCTAGTCAACCATGCCTGTTCCTCTTCTACACAACTTCTAATGACTGAGATGCTTCAGCCTCAGTCCTAAGTCTTTTTATTTTCCACTCATCCTTGGATGATATCATGCATTCTGATGGCTTTACACCCACCTATGTGTAAGGAATTTGCAAGTATATATCATCAGACCAGATGTTTTTTTGTGTTCCAATCCTGTATACCTGACTGCTAAGCATCTCTGGTAGTATATCTTACAGGCACTCAAATTCAACATGTCCTGAATTGATCTCATAATCTGATCCTCCAAATAATCTCCCAGAATTCTGTATCTCAATGCATACACCATCCAATTTTATAAGTCAGAGATCTGACAGCTTGAATATCTCTTTCCTTCATTGCTACATCCAAAAAATGACCTAATCCTATCTACTTTTACTTTCTAGCACCTCTCTAATCTACTTACTTCTTGTATTTTCATTTCCAACAAACTAGTTTCAGTTACTTCATCTTCCATTGGGCATTAGCGTATCAGCCTCCCAGTCAGTCTTGCTGCTGTGTCTTTTATTCTGTCACTCTTTCCTTCACATGGTAGCCAGAGTCGTTGCAATCTTTCAAGTTATTTCATCTTTCTACACTTCAGTTTTCTGATCTGTAGGATAGGGATAATAATAATTCCCACCTCACAGAGTGATGTTAAAATTAAATGAGTCAACACATGTAAAATAATTAAAACATTGGAATACAAAAAATATGTATATAAGAATTTTTCATTATTCTTGATCATCATCAACCTTATCACTAAAAACTACCTTACTTAAAATACGTTCATGGTTTGTGGGCCGCTTCAGTAGATAGTGTGTGGGGCTACGACCCATAGGTTTATCGTAAAGCTTGGGAGCAGATGAAAGGACAGACATCCTTCTCTTAATATTTGTCAAGCACCTACCAATGAGCAGAAACCTTGATTCCACAATAAGGAGCTAGAGCTGAATAAAAATTATTTCTCGCTCTACTAGAGAGATGAATGAGGTAAACACATTCAACAAATAATTTCTTCCCTTATAGAGTAACTGGTAAAATAGATGTATAAAAATGAGGATCTGTAGAATCACAATGGAGGGGATCTTGCCACCTGGGAGGTAAGGTGAATCTTCTTGGAGATAACACATTTAGGACCTTCCCCAGCCTGCTCTTTTTCATTGTCAGGGGATGTCACTTATAGGGAGATTCATTTTATCAGAGGACATGGAGGTCATAATTTATGTCATATCTCTAGACCTTTCTTGGATGATACAGCTTTTCTGATTGAACCTATAACATAGGGACATAACATGCATTAGGAGTGGTTAGTACATTTCAAAGATGAGTGCCTGAACCATGCCACCTAGATTGGCTGTGCAGCCCCAACAATGCTGTCTTTCACCTAAGGTTCATGGTAACATATTCTTCCCTAAGGGATTATGTGTTTTTTGTTGTTGTTTTCTTAGGGTTTGTTTTTTCCGTTGTATTTTGAGGAGAGAGTTCTTTTGAATGACAATTTGCTAAATTCAATATTGTGAAATACCTGTAAAACAGAATTTATTTTTGCATTCTTGGCAGGTCCTTGGTTACTTTGTAGTGAGTAGAATACCTTTTCAAGACCATTTTATGAAACTCAGGTTTACACTAATCAATGTACATGCTTTAAACTTCAGAATATAATACTTACATATCTGATACTGTGGAAGTAAACCTCCTTATGGAGTTTTCACACTAGTAGCAAGGAAGATACACTAGGAAAAAAAGCCTCTCTCTTTATCTTCTTAATTGCCTCATGGGCCTCTGTTTCAGACAAGAAGAAGTTTGAGATTTAGAGATTGATAAAATAATATATTTTAGACCTGCTCTCAATCCTTCTGAAGCAGGACAGCAGTCACATGGAGCCTCTAAACAGCAATTCATGGCGGAGTTGGACAGCGTGTAAGCGGGGCCAATACTGTACCCCAAACAGGATTGTAGGCCCAAAACTCATTGAAAGCCACTGTATTTCAAGTGGCTTCATCTATAAGAGAGGCCCCGTAGCATGATCTCAAGCCCAACTCTGTGGAATCTAGGGTTGATGAGGGATTACATCACAAGTGATCCTGTGGTATGACTCGAGTGAAATATAGACAAGGCTTCAAATTGACTTTTTTTCCTCCCTGCTTATTTTTAGATCATTTGTACACATTTTCACACTGCATCCTCTGAGACATACAGCAGGACTTATTATGCTAGTGTTTTATGGAGAAAGCATGTGGTATAACAATATCTAACTCCAAGATCCAGAAAACCAATGCTCCTTTCACTGAGCACAAAAAAATAGTTAATATAGACCAGGTATAATTTGTTACATGCCCACGGTAAAGTGCCTGTTGAAGATGTTTTCTGGATTTTAACTGTTTTTCATCCTCACAAGTCCATGAGGCCAGTACTACTATGCTCATCTTACACATGTTGAAACAGACTCAAGAAAAAGTGAATACCTCACCAATGACGTGTTTGGTAAGAAGCAGAAGAGGGTACCAAGTTTGACACCAAACCTTGTACCCTGCATTACAGGCAGTACCCAGCACAGTCCGTGACCCACAGTTATAACTCAGTAAATGTTAGGGTATTTTTCCCTTTTTATTTCTTTCCTTTCTGCTATTATTGTTCCCCGCCCCCCTTTCTTAGCCCCTTTTAAAAGTGTCTAGACTTTAGAACCAAAATTCCTCCTCTCTTCTTAGCTAGAATAAATTAATCACTTTCTGCTTCCCACAAATTAACAATAAACACACAACACTGTGTGTTTGGTCTGTCTCTCCCACAAGATAATGAGATGCCCTTAATTTAATTTAATTTAGAGTTCGTGCAGCCTCATTTTAAGCAGTGCCTCCAAGAACTGCTTTGGTGAAAAGAAAAGTAGCTTATTCATGTTCATACTCTAAAAATCCCTGATGTGTGATTAAAATGACTCAATATCTCCCAAAATACAACCATAAAACCTTTTCTTATTTGCCTTCATATTACAGAAATTCAAGGTGAAGTGTCTGGTGGGCAGTAGATTTAGACTTGCAAGCTCATATGTCACATGACTCCAAAGACAAAATTGGGAGCAAAAACTCTTAGTGACCAGCAATGTCCCTCATCATCAGTTTTATGGGTCATTGCAATGTCTTCTCCTCAGATGTTCTCAGCATACTGGGTTCCCAATAAGAAAACCTGGGGTCAATAATTATTTTTACCACTGATTAGTTCTTTTAGTTTGATGGTCTACATCTCTACTGGGAAAATCGGGCTAATAAGTCCTCCTCTATTTCTCAGAATGATTTAAAGATGTAATGTGGAAATTTGTACAAATGGCCTAAAAATAAGCAAGGGGGAAAAAATGAGAGGCTAGACAAATACAAGTTATTACATTTACTTCTGATGTCATCTATAACAGCTACAAAGGCAGAGAAGAAACTTGTTTTTTTATAATAGTAGTTACACTGTTTAAGGGATTCACTCCTGGATGCATACATTGACTTTGTAATGAGCATACGGCACTCACCTTATGACAAATGACCAGGGATGTCCAGCTATGAGTAAGACAGAAACACAAGAAGCCTACAAGGGATGTAACCTCATTTTACAAAGGAGGAAACTGAGATACAGAGAGGTTAAGTAACTTGCATAAGATTACAGCTGTGTGTGAATCCTTTTCCTCTACAAACCCTTCTTCATTAGTGAGGGTCCCAGGGGGTCAGGACTGTGCCAGTTTAGTTCTCCTTGCGCACTCAGCACGTCACCCATTGCCAGACAGAGTAGATATTCTGTAAGTATTTGTTAAATAAATAAAATGAGTGAATAACTGAATAAAAAAGTGAATGAGCAAGAGTTTGAGTGTAGTAGAAGGTCATAAGAAACTGGGAGAATGTCGATAAATTGGAGTTCATTGTTTTCATGTACATTTCTAGGGGCTGCGTACTAGTCTAAAGTCATATACTGTGCTTTTAAACACAGCTTAAAACTTTTACATTGGCACCTGCATAGCATGACTATCTTAACTTCCTTCTTATGCCTTTAATTCCATTTTGATGACTGGCCATAATAAATAATTGCTGACTGCAAACTACTCTGTCTGGATTCTTTGATTAATTATTAATGAAGGAAACATGTTATCTTTGTAGCCCAAATGGTTGAAGGCACAGTGTCTCTCATGCAGCATCCTTACCCACTACTGCTGCAGATCTGTCATATGAGTCTGTCTAGACCACCACTTAATTTAAATGGTCTTTTTTTCCCCCTTATCTTTGATGTGGAGATACTGGTATAAACCATTATTCACAGAGCCATTAGGAGGAACTGCTTTAAAAGAATGGATGTTATATTACTACCTGCATATCCCCAGTCACATAACCAAGTAATTTCTATCATTTTTCTCTAAGGGTTAAAAGAGATGAAGGGAGTATATCAAATTAGCAGCTCTCTTGAGTGACTGACGTACCCAAACTGAAGACTCAGTTTACCCATTTTCAAGTTACATACTGATGTGGGAAAGTCTTTTAGCATAGTGGGATTCTTGGGCAGTGGACAAGGTTATAGTTTACAAATAGGAGATAGATTGTCAAATAAGCCTGTTCACATTAAACACATTTGCAAACTATTTACTTTTTCAAGGAGTGAAAAAGACTCCAGCTCACCGAAAGACAGGGCAGTTCTTACCTTTGTCTTTAGATGAATTGAAATTGAAATGAACTCAGGCATCAAGCCAGTTCTCTCCCTAGGCCTCCCCTTTCAGCCAAAAAAAAAAAAAAAAAGGAAACATGTTCCAGCACCAGCTCAGTAGGAGGCATTTGATACCAGAGGAATTCTCTTTTCTTCCACTGAACTTGGATTTGTCTATAAACATGTACCCACACTTTTCAAGAAATGGTCCTTTAGGTTCTAAATAAGGTAATAGGTGACCTAATATGTTTTAAGCAAAATATAGAAAGATTCATGTACTATCCCTGAGCATCTACTTAAAAGTGAAAGACTTAGAGACTTGTTCTGTTTCATTAAACTTGATACATGTGCTTGTTTAAGCCAGATAGAAATGGGGCACATCTTTAAAAAAAAAGATTTTTTCTGCATAACTTAGTATTTCTTGATTTAATCCTAGGTATGATTATCAACTAATCACCAAATACGATTTATTTATATCATTTATTCTATGCCATTATCCTGATTAATAGTGTTAAGTTCAGTGCTTTTAAATGAATAAATGATTAAATCAGTGGAAGAATGAATGAATGCTATGCCTGCAATTGAGAATCACTTCTTTATCTAGATGTTGTCCTGGACACTCTGGCTTACAAAGTGGGAAATGTCCCACCCTGCCTGTCGTGAGAAGCAGTTACAGAAAACTGTTTCACCTGTGTAAGGAACTCCACTAGTGCCTTTCAGGGGAGGGCTTATAAGATATCCCTAGGTAGCATTTCAATGGGTTATGCCTGAACATGTACTCATGAGATTGTACTTCACTGTGGTTTGTGGGTGGGTGTGTCACTTAGTACCCATGTATATTTGATATGTATGTGAAACTTTTATCTGTGTATATGAATTTATATATCCATGTATGAATTTGGTGGTAGCATCCCCAAACCGTCATCTGCACATGATTTT